ATTTTTCGTCACCATGGGGTGTTGTTCAATAGTGTGTTCAACCACCATTAGTGTAACTACAGTATGATGCATATGCGCATATTGTATTGTCTGTATTCCCTGTATCCTCCCATTTTTATCCATTTTCGATATTAAAACAATCATCAAAACATGTTCGCCCAAACCCGGACGTTGCTCCACACTTTCAATCGTCATGATCATCATGATCATCATCATCATCATCATCACCATCATCATAATCATCATCATCATGATCATCATCATCATGATCATCATCACATTAAAATTTGCCACCCCCTTTGAACAATATTTTGACTGGGGTAAAAACATCAACTCTATTTTCATGAGGGTTCAAAATTTGCCACCCCCTATGAACAATATGTTGACTGGGGTAATAACATCAACTTTATCTTCATGAGGGTTCAGAATTTTCCACCCCCTCTGAACAATATGTTGATTGGGGTAATAACATAAACTATATCTCCACGAGGGATCAAAATTGTTCCAAACCACCAACCAGATAACTGTGTAATTGCTCTATACACACTACTTATTGGAGTTCTAAACCAACTTAGCGATCTAGGGGGCCCAGCTTGTACTAAATCATAACCAAAATCAATGGTACTTTTGGTTCAATGTTGACCCATATCTATCTGGTTTGTCCAAAACTTGGATATCAATCATCACGCTCTCAATGTTTTGAATTGGCCATGCAGCAAAAGACACAACACTTTCCGATATGTTCAGATGTGAAATCACACCTGAATATCATATCAGTCATATCAGATATTCAGACACACCTGAATATCAGCTAGTATATTGGTTGTATAGTTACTATATACATCCCAATAGATAGTTACTATTATTACATAATATCATATATATATCATATACATCTAATATTAATAATGGTTACAATTAATTTATCTATTCCAATATCCCCCCCAATTACATCCCCAGTTGATACTTCTTAGTAGGCGCCTCCTGCACTCGATGCGCGTCTTGGGCCTGGGCTACTCGGACTGGGGGTGCCCCTACTTCAGGAAACCCCCACTTGCAGGATACAATATTTATAAGTTTAGATGGTATATATATATATTATAACGTATATATATATATGATATTATTACATAATATCATATACATATATATATATATATATGTATATCATATAACTATATATATATATTACTACATAATATCATATATATATATATGTATATCATATAACTATATATATATATATTACTACATAATATCATATATGTATATATATATATATATGATAGATATGTGCTTATTGCTGGGAGCAAATACAATAAACAACTTCAACTGTCAGAATTGTAGAATTACAACAGAGACCAAGCTTCACTACCCCACTGTTGCAACGTTGGGGAATACCCAAATACATCCAAATACCCTATTGGTTAAATCATCCTCCAATAACACCGATGCCTATGCCCCTAAACTACCTTGTTTTCAGTTTTTTGCAAATGGTGAAGAAACGCTGCACCGAGCCATCTGCAAAGCAGCAATCTAGCTGAGCGAATTGGCAATCCCCTGTCATCCATGATTTCGAGCACTAAGATTCACGCAGTTCTTCGAGCAGGACCCAAAACATCCAAAATAACCGTAATTCAGTGTAAGTCAATGATATTTACTAAACCCGAATCAAAACCAAAAAAAGAAGCCAAGTCGTGCAGTCCTTCATTGAAAAAGATCAAGTCAGTGTGATTTCATTTATACACTAGAGTCACAAAAAAGCTACTGTTCATCCAATGTATCTCCAACTGTCTGACAGCCCAGAGAGAGAAAAAAATTATACCAAGCAACTGATGGAGGAATGATGACTGCAGGGCGTCACGCGCACTGGGCCTGGTGTTTGACAGTTCTGCCATAAACCTACCATGACTGGGGATGGTTAAAAAACAACGGCATGCAAAACCATAAATATGTGAACCTCCCAACCACATATTATTACTAATGTTTGGGAGCTTAACCAGCAAAAACATCATATATATATATAATATGTACATATATGTACAGTGTATATGTATATTATATACACTGTTGATGAAGTCCCTATTGCCAAATGTTGGACCAACAAATGTTGGGAGTTTAACAATCTGTCAATGGATCGGTTTTGGTGGTAACATTGGCAACTTGCGTGGTGAACTTACCCCCAATTAAAGGAGCTTCAACCGTAAATGTTCCCAAAGAAACCAATTCTGGGATGTGATAACATTGAAATTGGGATGTTTCACGGTAGAATGAAATTCTGAAAGCCTTAATAACATATGATTCAAAAGTCACCAAATGGGGGGACATCCTTGACTTCTGCCGGACCATTGCCACCTTCAGAGGCTCATTCTGCAGATAAACCAACCCCGCAGGAGCAAAAGTGTGAGAACTCCCACTATGAAATTCACCAACCAAGCGCCATGATAAAAAACATGCATCCCTAATTATCCCTATATGATCCTTACTCTGTTTGATGATTAAAACGCCTTCAAATGATGGAAATGATAGTTAAATTCCATATAATCAACCAATCAAAAATGGGACATCTTTGATGGCATGCTTACCACTGGGATTCTTTCATGGGTGTATCTCACCTGGTGCCCAGTTCACCAACCCCTCCCCGCAGCTGGTTGGTTTTCGAGGATTCCCAGTTTGTGGACAAAATTCAACCCCCAAAAGGGTGACCGGGGCTACTAAAACCATCAACATCCACTGGATCTTGGGCTAGTGGAACCACAAAAAGTGCGTTGCGTTGAATCCCCACCATATATATATATTATAATATATTATATTATATATATATGCGTTACTCTTATGAACCATATAATATATATATATACACACACCATCAACATCAATGTTGAATCCCCTGGAATATGCGTTGCGTTCTGATTTCGCTCCCTTTATGTGTTGCTGAAGCCATGTCTTGGTACAACAATCACCATGTTTCATGATGAAAACCACCATCATATCATCAGGGAAATCTGCTTCAGCTCGCCGAAGAAATTCACAGTCCGACTTATGCTTGCTGAAACCTGTGGGACTGTCTGATGATATACCTCAAGTCCACCGGTGAACCATCAAATTTCCATTTTTCACTGCAATAAATTCAGGGAAAAAACATTTTCGGACATTGCTATCTATCATCTGTGTTGACTAATCATTTGTTATATGTATATCTATATTGTGAACTGGGTTCAACACTGGCAGCCCCACCAGGAAATCCTATCCCAAGCTCTCCACACACTGCTTTGTCCCTCACAGCGCAGCACGGGAATCTCAGGGTCTTCCAAGCAGCAAAAGGCCAAGAAAGGAAGTTGGCTTGCAAAGCGGTTCACACGGGTTTCAATGGCTGGCCACAGCAAAGAAACTACGGACTGGCCACAGTCCTTGGCTCAAGAACACTTAGCCACTGCCCTCCCTCTCCTGGCTGCCTCAGCCAAAAAGTGGCTATCGAGATGTACATGATTTCCCTTGGCGGAAGGCACTGAACAGCTGGACACTGACTGGGTTCAGTTGTGCAATCACACTCCCAAAAGAGGAAATTTTGTTCATGATTTTGTTGTTTCTTCTTCGTTTTCGTTTTGATTCTGCAACCATTTGATTCGGTTTCTCGTTGATGCCCGTTGTTTGAGGATCTCTTGTTCATCTTGCAAACTGTATTGTCCATGCTGGAGTGTGTATCGAAGGAAATGTCCTTCCATGATTTTCGTCAGCGCATCTGCCACTTGAGCACCACTATGAACCCACCGCAGTGTTGTTCCTTCAGCCAAGAAATCCTTGATAGCTCTGGCTTGGAGCTGGGTTCTGAATTCTTGGCACGCTGGGGGAGCTGTTCGTGTAACTAGATCATAAAGTGACTTACAATCGGTTACGGCAATTGATGGATCTTCCTTGAAAGTGGCAGTGGAATATGACGGTGGTAAGGTCTTTAACGTTTCAGTGGGATTTTTCCAGTTGGTTCTTGGATTTCTGATCCAGCTCCAGGATAGCCTCAGCCATGAAAGCTGATCTAGCGTCGTGCTGAGAGAAGTTGTTTCTGCTGAAAGGGTACTGGTGACCACATGCTGAATTTTCTTACATCCCCAACTTATTGGATTCACCGGGCACACATGATTCTTGGCTATGTTTTCGTGGGTGGTCATGATCATCATTCCAGTATGTGACTCAGGGACTTTTTTTGATGCGAATGATGCATCTGAGAACGCAAGGAATCTTATTTTCTCAAGGGGAATTGGCTGGATGTGGATGGACGTGTTTTTATGTCTCTTGGCTTCATGAAGTACCTTGTTGCCTTGTATGAGTGTTTCAATGGTCGCTTTGTTGATGTCGCTCTGCAAGAAACTGAGTCTACTGGACAGATCTGGTCGCGTGTTGACGGATGCATATTGAAGGGATCCTATTAAGGCTCGCAGGTCTTGGCGTTCGCGTTCTGTGACTGGAAGTTCAAGCTGTGATTTACGATTGGGTTGAATGTGAATGGGGTTAATTTTGGTGATGTATTTTTCTTGGGACATGGTGATACTGTGGTCGTTATTCTGGGTCATTTCCATTCCTGTGAACACAAAGTTTTGGGACTTTTTGGAACCAAATGGAAATTTCTTCTCAAGCTCCTGAATTTTGGACATGAAGTATGAATCTCCTCCGCATAGACCATCATCTACATGAATTCCTAGTATTCCGGAAGGTTCTTGGGCTCCTTCTTTATGCAGTAGGTAAAGGCATGGGTCAAATGGGGAAGGAATGAAATTCAGGGATCTCAATGTCTTATCAAGTTCAGTGAACCATAAGAAAGGTGCATCTATGAGCCCGTAAGCAGATTTTACGAGGCGACATACTTCATTGGGTTCAAGGTTCATGGCAGAAACCATTTCGGGAACAGGCTCTACGGCAATGACACGTCCTTCCTGAGTTTTTCCTTGGAGGAAAGCGGCCTTAATGTCGAATGACATCAGGTTCCATCCCATGGATGCGATTACCTATGCTATTAACATCTTGGATGTCCTACCAAGTGTTGGGCTGTCTCTTGGGATCGTATCCAGTTGGGGATCTTGGAACCCCAGGACCACTAGTCTTGCCTTTGCCTTTCTACTTTTTCCATGATTGGCTTTCTGATCTGCAGCTTCAGTAATTGGTTTCCACACATACAACCAACGACATCTCAAAATCTGTTGTGGTGATAGTTCATTGCGGAACATGCGAACTACCGTTCCTGTCTGCAGCCAGTTCTGGACTTCCTTTGCCTTTGCTTCTTCAAATTCACGACGTTCGCTTGGATCCAATGTACTCAGCTTGACTTCAGTTCTTTGTTTCTTGGTGGCAGTGGCAAGCAACAAGAAATCTTCAGGGATTGGTTTTTGACTATCCAGGCACATTGATTCCAATTGATCGCGGGTGAACTCAAGCTCTGCTCGCCACACGCTCGTTTCCCCATTGGGGCTCCACTGATCTTCTCCATCAACATCCTCACAGGTGAGTAGATCACACAATAGTTCATCATCGGTCTCATTGGGAATTGGTATTTCATGGGGCTCTAGATCTGGTTGATTGGTGTTATCATTGTCATTTTGTGGATTATTGTTATTTTGTGAATTATTTTGTGAAGGATTATTGACATTTTCGGGTTCCTGGTCGGGTTGTTCAGTGGAAATTTGGCTGTCAGATCTCTGGTGGTTTTCGGATGTTGTATTGTTTGGATTGACTGCAGTGTTGGTTCCTGACGGCATCGTGATGTCTCTTGTGGTGCTGATGGATCTTGCTTGATTCTCATTGGTTGTTCTCTGTGGCATGGCCTGCAATTGTTCCTCGAGAGGAATCAGTTGAGCTTCGACTGAGCTCACTGGTCGCACATGTTCGGGTGCAGCACGAATCAGGGTTCCGGAGTTATTACAGAACACCGTGGTGGGTCCTTCTTGGATAATCACCCGAGCAGGACCGATCCATGAACCCTGTTTCAAATGAACTTTCCAAATCATCACCCACTCCCCTGGTTCGTATGCGCCGCGATGCGGACAATCTCTCCGCAGGGCTGCACGCCGTAGTGACATGTCATTGTCGGCTGAGAAAAAGGCTTTCCTGGCAGTTTCTCTTTGTGCCAGAAGTTCCCTAAACCTTATACCCTGTGGATTTTCAGTGGCGGCAATGGCATGTGACGGAAATGAGTCATCACTGGTGAGTGACCCTGGCATTCGAAGTCCTCTGCCGAAGACTAAGGTTTCTGGTGAGTACCCATGTCTCAGGCTGCATGCATTTTTGGCCATGGTGCAATGAGTTAGTGCTTGTTGGACCTGTTGGTAATTGGTTACATCATGTTCTAACTCATATTTGCTGAGCATGCTCTGTAGAATTCCCCCATGACGCTCAATCCTACCTACCTGCCAATGGGCATCAGGAGGAACTACTACACATTGCACATTGAGGCTCTGCATGTATTCCTGAAAGGCAGCTGACAGGAATTCCGAGGCTGAATCCATCAGAACGGTGTTCGGAGATCCAGCCCAATTGAGCCAACCTGCTGTGAACTTCTCCAGGATGTCAGCTCGGTTGGGGGCGATCACGGCTGTGTGATAATTGGTCCCATGGTCAATAAAGTGGTAAAAGTGGAACTCTTGGTTCTGCTTATTTACCCATTTAACCCCATCTATGGACACTTTATCCCCGAATTCGAGCTCTTCCTTCAGAGTGGCAGGTCTTTGGATCTTTGGCCGCTGCTGCATCTGGCACACTGAACACTTCAAATCCAGCACACCCTGACATAACTCAGGACAATACCCTCGTTGTTGAAGTACCTTGCTTAACTTCGTGGGTTCTGGGTGTCCCAAATTTTTGTGAAGGCGAATGGCAAGCTTCCTGTTTTCTGGTGACATTGCAAGAAAACGAGACCCATGATTCTGGCTTTGTTCATCTATCTTACTGGGACTTTCGGATGCTTGGTCGGATGCTGGATTTGGCAGGATTGTCATGTCGGAATTGATGGCTCTGTCAAGGGGAGCCGCTGTCACAGGTTCCGACTCTGTCGTGGCATTTGGGGACCCATCCGGGGCCCTGGATTGGACATCTCCTGCAGGTTCTGGCTGATGAATTATGGCGGGTGCACTGCTGTTTTCAGGGACCTCAGGATTTCGAGCGAAAACTGTTATATTCATGAAGCTCGGATGTGAGCGGCGCCACAACTGCCTGTTAGATAAATACTTCCATTCTTCCCACTGGTCTTCAATCATGATGTTTTTCGTGATTCTTTGGACAATGATTGCTCTTCGATATGGTGCTTCATCGGGTATCAAGTCCTTAGGAGGCATGATAGTTCTTTCAGTCCCTTTACATGCTATTGCCCGTACCACTATTTTATCATGAAAAAGCTCTTGGATATCCTGGAGTATTTTTGGGTCACAAATATCTTTCCTACCAACCCTGGGTGCAATGGATGACACCTGAGAACAAATGCGATCACAAAGGCTTGGAGGGCTGGCACTTTCGGACATCTTTCCAGTGGTTCTTCTTCTCTTGGCAGGCATGGCTTGAGGCTCAATCAGCTCACTTGCTCGCAGTTTTGCTCGTTTTGGTTTTGGCATCATGGGATCACCATTGGTTCTTTTGGTCGAAACAGCGGCTATGAATTCGAATCCCATCGGTGCTTCTTTGATGCATGTCACTTTGATGAGAACACGAGCAATGGTCCTGGCAAACTTCCGATTGTATCTTTCTGAGAATTCCGTTCTCTTTATACGCATCCCTTTATAAACTGTTTCACCTTCAAGTGGTTGATGGTCATGTTGATGATTGCACTTTCGTCCATGAAATTGTTGATAAAATTGAAGTGAAGTTGTAACAATCTCCATGCCCTTTTTGAACAACAGTTGATTGATGGGATCCCGCATGAGACCTACTCGGCACATGTCAAACTCTGCAATTTGCGTCCCTTGAATGATCTCTCGCAACAGTGGAATTCGCAACATCATTGATTTGGCTGGTTGCTCCCAGTGCATGTGTCGACCGCAAGACACCTGGTGGCGATACAGAACAAGGCCAATGGCCAGCTGATACAAATTGTCATCACGCTGTTGCTGGATTCTCTGGAAGCTCTCCAGGCTCCTAGATTCATTCAATTGACTCCATGGGCTCCATGGTCCGCATGTCGGACTGTACCACAAGTGTTGAGGTCGGCATGAAACAACTTTCCGAAAAAGTCCTTTTCTACCTTCTCTAGTGGCAACGTCCCCTTCTTGATACCCATATCTTACAGCCCTATATCCCAATTGGATTACTTGTTTGGTTAGTTCACTTTGAGGACTGCAGAGAACTTCCATCACCTGGACGATTGGCTCGGAACGGATGTTTGGCATTGTGGAGACTTCGTGAAGTTCCTGTGAAAATTGCTGTACAAGTGAATTGAATTTGGCTTGACGGTGATTCATGGTTGTGGTGTGATTGTCACAAAGTTCAAAATCATGATCAATGTCTCCTGCCAGACATAGATGATCTACAAAATCTTTCACTGCGTAGGCCTCATCAGACTCAGAATTTCGGTCAGGGCATTCTCGATGGATAGGACGCGAGTCTGAAGCGCTTGCACCTCTTCTGGAAGAGGATCTCGATGAACCTCCCTGGTCATGGGCTCCATCACATCCCACGGGTCGAAGAGATCCTCGCTCATCACTGTCATCACGTCTGCTGGCATGTTGCTGGCCGATGCTGGAGCCGCTTTGGCTTTGGGATATCCCTTGCAGCGAGGCTGGACAATCCCTTGGTGAGGCTCTGGCAAGTCCAGAGGAGGCAGCCCTTGGTCTGTTTCGTGTTGTTGGACCATCTTTTCCACATAGATGACCATCTTGCGATGCTCTTCCTTCTGGCTGTCGGCATAGGTGCGGATGAACCATTTCACCCAGGCTTTCTCGTTTTCCCACATCTCCAGGAAACTCTTGCCTACGTGAGCTCGGCCGAAACTCACTCGGGAGTTGCCCATTTCCTCGAGGCTCTTCGCTTCGAAGGCTTCCACACTGTCGGGAGAGTTCCGTGACAAGACCCTCTCGACACGGCTGGACAGGCTCATGGCACACGGCTGGGTTCAGGTTCTGTACAAGCTGAATGAACGCTGGGGACACAGTTTCGGGCCTAGCAGTCTCGGCATTCACATTCTGTACACCACTGTGGCTACTGCGGCAGGACGTATGTACATCATGACAAAACCTGGGTCCGGTTGGAGATTTCAACTCTTTATCATGCCGCATGATGGACTCTGAAGAGCTGGTGTCGGCTGATGCATGTTTTTGGCACTCGGAAAAATCATTGCTCACAAAGGTCTCAGCGATGGATGGTGTTGTCCTGATTGAGGGTCCCTTCTGCGCGCAAATCAAGTCTTTGACATCGAGCATGTACAACCCTTTTGGACTTAATCTTAGGTTCACGGACTGTCGCAGAAAAGGACTGGTCAGGACCTGCTGTGCGCTGTCGATGCTTGCTCTCAATGTCCTGATTAGGGTGTTAGACAACAGTAATGGGGTGTCTCCTTCAACAATAGCAACCTTGAGTCCTAGGCCTATTGATGTCAGGGGAATCACCAGGGCATGTTTGCTATCCAACGTACCTTGATTGCCAAACCTGAATGTGATTTCACATCGTGTTCGGGACAATTGCTTCTGGACATCGTGAGGCAAACTTTCGATAAATGAAGGCAGCAGTTTGCTACCGATCACTGACTTTGTGGCGCCTGTATCAAGAATGCCACTGGTTCCATGCGTTGAAAAGAAAATCGGCTCAGGTTCAGAGGCACTGCTGATTGTCTGCATCTTCATGGACTGGCTGTGAAGGCTTTCATTCCTGAGAACATGGCTCTTCGGGTTCTTCTGTAGTTCCCCCCAATTCCCTTTCATTCGGAGGCGTTCCCGGAGCTCAGTAGGAATGGCCCTAACTACATTAATTAAATGCATTCTGGTTTCATCGAGAGGAGCTTCTTGGATGATGGGAAGCTGCATGAACTCCATAGGCAAAGCATCGGGCTCGGTGACATCATCAAAAGACTCAACCGTGGAGGTCATGGCAGCCGACGTGCTGGTGGCGGCTGTGGCTGAGCTACCCCTAGATCTCTCAGGGCATTCGGCTTTCCAGTGCCCCTTTTTTCCACACAGTCTACATGAACTCTCCAGAATTCTTTGTTGCAGGGTTTTCTTGGGAAACTTACCATATGATTTACCCTTCCCTTTAGGATTGGAAAATTTTCCTTTCCCCTTAGAGGGTCCAATAGGCCAGAATCCCCGATTCTTGAATCTGTCAGATAACCTTTTTCGGGCCTCAGAGTACGTGGTGTAGGCCGCCGCCAAGTCCTCGTCAGTCTGAACAGTTTCTGCCATTGCAGATTCGTAATCAGCTATGAGGGCTGCATCTTCGTCAGCGTCTTGGAGCAGTTGATCAAAGTACTCTTCTTCGGTCAGGTCTTCTGATGCAAACACTTGAGAATCGTATTGTAAATCATCATCATCTTCTGCAACAAAAACTTGATTGTCATAGATCTTGCCCTTGCTACGTTTCTGACCAATCATGTCGTTGAAAAATGCCGTGCCCAGCATTCTCACTGCTTTCCCCACCTTGTCAATGGTCAGAGTTCCGTCGGTGTCGGCACCACTTTCTCGGATGACTCGTTTCTTGTCTTCGGTTGACAAAAGCGATCCCCTCAAAACGATGTATGCATGTACCTCATCCAAATCAATCTTCTTTGACTTGAGTTCAGACCAATTCACATCGCATCTGGCTAAGAAGGAATCATTTGATTCATCTTGTCTCTGCATGCATTTGAATAAAGCCTTTTCAACTGATTCGTACTTTCGTTCCAGATTCACCTTGCCCCACTGTCCTCCTAAGAGGGTCACCAACAGTTGAATACCAGACTTGTCATTGGTTAATAACTTGTCCCTACTCAGCTGCAACTTTTGAAAGGCTGTTCCAGAGGTGTTCAGAATCAATCGAGTGATCAGCTCGTTCATCTTCGATGATGGCCAGATCTCGCTCAAAAGCTCTACTTTCTGAGAAAACTGTTCCAAATCATCCTTCGACGGGTCAAAGCTCGGCACCAACGTTGTCAAATTGTTGGAGACTGACGTTATACTGCCATCTCCACCATCAGAAGCTTGTGACATGATGTCACACTCGATTTCAAAACTCCCTGGAGCAAAGGTAGCGCTCCGCTACCAGTGTGAACTGGGTTCAACACTGGCAGCCCCACCAGGAAATCCTATCCCAAGCTCTCCACACACTGCTTTGTCCCTCACAGCGCAGCACGGGAATCTCAGGGTCTTCCAAGCAGCAAAAGGCCAAGAAAGGAAGTTGGCTTGCAAAGCGGTTCACACGGGTTTCAATGGCTGGCCACAGCAAAGAAACTACGGACTGGCCACAGTCCTTGGCTCAAGAACACTTAGCCACTGCCCTCCCTCTCCTGGCTGCCTCAGCCAAAAAGTGGCTATCGAGATGTACATGATTTCCCTTGGCGGAAGGCACTGAACAGCTGGACACTGACTGGGTTCAGTTGTGCAATCACACTATATATAAATACATATACACATCCAAAACATATATATATATATCCATAGTGAAATCCTATGATACCCCCATCATGCTGCTGGAATCATCGGTCGCTCCACTCAATTTCAGCGCACCTCTTGGAAGGCTCCAAGGATAACAGGCGGCCAAGCAACTCCATCCCCCAGGTCTAGCATCAGCCGCGGCGTGCTGGACATCACGTTACGGCGTTTGATGTGAGGAAAATATAGCGATGGATAGATGAGAAGATACTGATTTTGGATAGAGGGGAATATCTATAGTTATCTACTCCAATATCTATAGTTGTAACATGTTATAACTGTGATAGAACACACCACATGACGACAACAATTTGATAATATTTATAATTATGAAAAGTGATGGTAATGAGATGGTGATAAACATAAACATCATCATGATGGAAAAGGGAAATGATCTTGGCAGTGACTGGCAGAGGTAGCTACATGAGCCACATTCCCGCTCCAGGTTTGCTCTTGCGAAATTAACCCATTAGTTCGAGAGATGACCACCCATTTACCCGCTCCAGTCATTTCACATATGGAAACTCCACCCATTTTTACATATTTCTCCAGAAATCAATGACTTTCTTTTCCGCTATGTGAACCGTTGACCGTTGAGGCAGTACCATTTTCATGACCGAACCTGCCGTGCCTCCAAGACGAGTCCCAGTTTGCTGACCTTGTCCAGGACCTAGAGCGCTTGATCCGAAAAACCAGTCGTTGATCCCATCGAGTAGGGATTTTAGGGTTGCCGAGTGGATTTTAGGATATTTTGGCCTGGCCTATTGTTGATTTTTCAGTGAACAAAAAAAAAGCTACTGTTGTTCAGTGGGGAATCACTCATGAGATTTTTCGGGAAAAAACCTGGGCAAAACTGGTCGTCCCAGAGCTGTGGAAATCGCCCGCCTCGCTGCGATGATCACGCAATTCCTGTCGTGTGGGTCAGCAAAACCCCTAATACGAATAGTGTTGAATAGTTATTGACATTAAACCATAATATATTAATATTCAACCCATTGTTATTAGTATCATAACCCATAATAATAATGATAGAATAATAATATAGTATCAACCATAATATGCACGACCATTATTAACCGATATATAAAACCATTATGAAAAACCATTATCAACCAATAATTCACCGTAATTTAGGGTTGTCATTGTTGGCATTAAAGAATCCACATTCTAGTGGTCGTTGGGGGGAAAAAGAACAATTGGGTCATTCCAGTCACGTCCAAGGGGACCAGCAAGATACTTCTCCGTGCGGAACACTGGATCTCATCCAATTTCTGGACGTATCGAAGGTCCATGGTATGGGTATGGCATTTATGGTGTAGGTCTCTTTCATTTCAACCTGGCCAAACTAAAACTTGGCTGTCATTGGTACATGTCCCACATTCAATTTTATACATATACTACATTATAGTACTACACGTATATCTTATATCGTGTATTTATGTGTATATATATACATTAGTTGTGAGATGTAAAGCATAGATACTCAAAATGGTTCACACTGTCCAGGCTCACATCCGCATGGCTTTTTCTTCCCAAACTCTTCGTGCGGTCTCAACCTGCTCCTCGCAGGATAGTGCTTTGGAACGCTGTGCAGGTAGTCTCCTGCACAGCAGCACTGGTTGGACCCGTACACCCTGTTCCGCACTCCTGTAAACTCAGGAGGCTACACAGGTTGAATCTCTCCCGCCCAGTGCTACAGTCGTGGGACTCCACGTAGAGATCAGCATCCTCAATGATGTGATCCCCTACAAGGGAGGATACTCCACCGGAGTCCTACCTCATAGGGAGGGAAGGGAGGGAAAAGAAAGAATGATGAAGCCAGTTTGGCTCAGACTTGAGCCAAAATGGATTCATCAGCTTACATACTCACCCTAATGATAATGCACACCCAGTGCCTGCCAAACACGATGCATACATACATTAGTTGTGAGATGTAAAGCATAGATACTCAAAATGGTTCACACTGTCCAGGCTCACATCCGCATGGCTTTTTCTTCCCAAACTCTTCGTGCGGTCTCAACCTGCTCCTCGCAGGATAGTGCTTTGGAACGCTGTGCAGGTAGTCTCCTGCACAGCAGCACTGGTTGGATCCGTACACCCTGTTCCGCACTCCTGTAAACTCAGGAGGCTACACAGGTTGAATCTCTCCCAATGCACTTCATCCCAAAGCACTCAGAGAAACTCCACAACCCGGAGAAACGCGGGAAGTGGTAGAGACCAAATCTCGAAGGGGAAAAATGCAAAATGCGTGGTGAACCCATGGCGTTTGTGCCATGTCGCCTGGAGGCCTTCACGGCTGATCTCATCAGACCAGTTGGCCTTGCTAGGGATCCACTCCCAGAAAAACCAAGCCTTAAGACCAAAAAGAGTGATATGAATCAATCGTGACATATGCTCTAAATCTGCATTGTCAGAACGACCTCGGATCAATGCCATCAACGCTGCTGTGTTGTCGATGAACCAAAGCCCTCGTCTGCCT